CCCCCCCCCCCCCCCCCATCTTACTGCCTATGCATTATATTACTCTTTTTTCTAACTGATCCAAATAAATCCCATCGAGGAATTCTAACCCCCTACAATGTTGTGTTAAAATATATCATATTTTCTAACCCCCTGCCCACCCCTAGCCACTCCTTTCCCAGATTGGCTACAATAACTACTGTAGCTAATTTGCGAATGGAGGAGGGGTGCAACTTGCAAGGGCAGGCAATAGGTGTTAGTGACAGAAGAAACCATCAATTTTTAAAAATAGAACACCTTAAATTGGTTTTCTTTATATATGGGAATTGTTCTAAAAAAACATTCTCTTAGTAACTTTAATTCCACACATCTACTAAATATGCTTTTAAATATAATAAAGAATCGCCAATATATAAGCAAAATATATATAGTTTTATTTCTAAAATAGAAGTAACATACTATCTCCATGTCTAGTTTGTCTTTTACGAATCAAACTGGAATTTTTTTAAGATTAAATTAGTCTCAATTTATATCGCATATTGGTACAATGAACTAAAATTTTGAAAGTTCTTAATAAAATAAAGAAAAAATTATCTCAAATAATCTCACCTTTTCGCGCTCTTTCAAAAATAATCTCACTTTTCACTCTCACAGAAAATAATCACACCTTTCCGCACGTGTGCGAGTTTTGGGTCACCGTTAAAAAACTAACGGTCACTTAACAGAATTTTCGAAAAATGCCCGTTTTCGCAAATAAATGAAAGGTGGGATTATTTCAAGAAATTTCTCTCTTTTTCATAATTTTAATTTCAAATTTTAAATTTAAATGTATTTTTATTTTTTCAAAAAATAATACCAAATGTAAATATTTTTAGAGTGAAACTAATTATTTTTCAATATTCGATAATCTGGTAATAATTAGAAAATAAAGTATTCTACACAATAGAGCTAATTTATTTACTTCATAACTAACTACATTTTTTGTAAGTTGCATTTATTTTTCTTGAGTGACACTTCAAATTGTTTTTTGATACTATATTATTATTATTTCTTAAAAAAATGGCACTACAAAACTTATGAATATTTTTCGATAGTTCTATATAACCATTTTTTGTGAAACAACATTACAATAGTTGTGAAAATAACACAACAATTTTTTCTCTGAAATGAAACTTTTATTTTTATAAAAATGTATTTCAATTTTTTCATGTATTGCAATCAATTTGTAAAACATTTTGAACATAAAATTTTAAGAACATATTTTAGTTATTATTACCACAAAGTTTTAAGAATAAAATTAACTTGCATATTTAATGACAACATCAATATTCTTCACATTAAAAAATAGCATAATTACTTCT